TTTTTTTTTTTTTTTTTAATGTAGATTTGGCGGTCTGGTTCTTGATCAAGTCGTTGACTCGTTCAATGGATTCGTGATCTTTCAGCCAATCATAAACGGAATTGGTGGTAATTTAGTCTCTGTACAGGCATCTCGAATCTCAACTACGTTGCACCAGACAACGATTATGGGAATTTTGCCGCCACACTCGAAAATATTCATCGCTCCGTGGAAAGCGCTCTTCAGAGGCTGTGAGTGATGCAAGAATTAGTAATGTTACGCTGTTACACATGCTTTTTCGCAGCTCTCGGCGATTACACAATAACGCTCGCTTTCGTTCTCTAGCGCTGTACGCGAAAACAGCCAGAATACTCATTTGCATGGCGATTTTCGGCGAAACGATCTTCATCTTTGCTGCCGATTATATCAGAAATGGAACGTCCACGTTACATATATATTTCGTTGTTTCTTACATCGTCATGGCTGTTCTACAAGTGAGTTTATAGTCCCTCCTGATTCAAGTGTGGTATTGAAAAAGTGAAAGGTTCGAATCACTGAGAAAAATGCGCGTATTTTTGTTTCGCAGGTCATGCTGTTGCTTTACGTGGCGCATATTATTATCCACGCTATGTGGCGATACAAAATCGACCCGGATAATTCCGCCATTCCGTATTTAACGGCGCTGGGCGATCTTTCGGGAACGATACTTCTAGCGATAGCGTTTTGGTTCCTCATAAGTATACATCAGGAATACGGTAAATAAAGGACCGGCGACCGTTAAAGTGGCGAGATTGAAATGCTGATGAAAACTGCGTGCCGACTTTTCCTTTGAAAGTGTCGTATATAAATGTCAACGGAGTTAAAGAGCACCGACGTCGCGTCACGTTTAAATGTGCCAGACAATAGGAGACGAAGATTAATTAAGAGAACAAGTGTTTCGTGGAAACAAAACATGGTGCTTTATTACGGAACGATCTGATTGATCTGAAACGGGCGAAACAGCAAGATTGTGTTCTTCCTCCATTAAGAGAAAATCTTAATGGTACGTTAGTCGCGTTAATTAGTTGTGTCACACACGCTGAACATAATGGATTAAAGCAGTATGTCACAGTTCTTGAAATAGGTAGACCAATAGAAAGAAAATGTACGATAACACTGATTCTAATATATAGCTAGTGAAATGCTCTGTCATGATATAATTTATCATGATCTAATAATCGTACAGTCGTGCTTACGCGAAATAAGGAAAAAAACGCTGCATAATTGACTGACGATTACGTAAAGCCACGAGATATAGAAATTTTTAATTGTGTACCTAATTGAATGAAGCAGCAGAATTTAAAGTATTTTAGATATAATCATATATTTACATCTGATTGTAATCTTAATAAACATAAACAGAACAGACCTAGTCAGTATCTTAACACTGATGAATAATTGTGTTGTAGGAAGATCATATGTTAACATAAAATTTCATATTTACAATAATAAAAGCCTCTTTAAAATAGAAATTATGTTTGTAGTTTACAGGTTTTTAAAATAGATAATGTTTTCTAATAATAGATAAAATTAAAAACATCAAAATATTTTATTGATGTTCTATTGTGAATTTAAATTTTTTTGATGATAATAGAACAAGAAAGTAATAGATTTTTAATGTATATGCATCAACAATATTTGAAACTCATAAGTATACAATATGTTTTATAAAAATTGTTTCTATCAGTAATAATACATTAGAATAAGTTATACAAAACAATCTAATTAAAGCGAGTATTCATAAAATAAATAATGCTAACAGTAAGTAAAATATTGCTTTTAGTTCCTGAAATAGTATTGTAACTAATAAATAATAGTGAATGATTTCCATAACAGCCTGTGATTTAAAATAATATCTTCAAATAAAATGTATGAACAATTGTACTTTTAAAATAAAACTTTGTGCTGTTGAAATAATGATTTTTATACAAATAATCAATATTTTAACTGAATTTAATAAAACTGATACGAATGCTTTATATTATGTTTCACAAAATTTCTATAACAAATTCAAAACACATGAGTTAAACTGAATGATCATAAAACAGATCAATTAAGTGAAGTGCATGAATATCACAAAAATCTAACCTACTCAAGTATGTAGTGTTTATACATATTTTACAATTCTACATATTATTTTGTACTGTTCGCTGTTTACAATTCTATGTGATACACTTTACATCATTTAATGTAAAGAAATATAATTTTTGCAATATATCATATTTATTATCACGAACATTCTAACAAAATTTTGATCAAGCAATAAACAATACACAGTGTTTAAGGTTATGTCTGTTTGGCGTTTTGAATACGATTATTCAAAGTAAGTCAAAACATCACACAATAATAATAATTATTATGTAACAATTATTTGTAGCAAATGAACATATGTTTCTAGAGTTAAAAATTCGTTAAATAATATACTGTACCGCCATATGATATCAAAACAAAACAAAAAAAAAAAGAAAAAAAAACGCGCGAATTTAGCTTTTAAAGGAAACAATATCATTTTATTGTAAATACTTCTGGCTTATAGATATTTGTATTAATTCAATATTAACAAAAGTTAAATGCAGCACAAAATTTATGAAAATATATGAAACCATGAAAAATATTTTGATTAATTAAAACGTAGAATCTTGTCATCGTATGGTTTTATCTCTTTTGTGAAAATTTAAAAATATATTGACAAACTATTAACAGACTCATTTCAAGCAGAATCCTTTCAAATTCTTAAAATTATACGTGTAGTAAATTGTTTAAAACTTACATATTGTTTAAATATGATTCGAAATTCCATGAACGTCCGGGTACCACGGGAAAATGCGCTTCGAAAAAGATTCAAATAGTCACTGAAATAAATTTATGATTTATCAAAAATTTAATATAAATTCATGATTTCATTTGAAAAACTTACGTTCGCGTTTGTACATATGTTTGTATATGCTTTGTAAGTAACGATGCAACAATTCACTATATAAAAAAATCAGACATCTCTTTTTGACAATTTCGTAGTAACGGTGACGCAACTGCGCATCACGTGCCGGACGAACGCAATCTTGCGCATACAATGGAGTGCAGCCATTGGTCATCCTTGCGCGCGGCACCTTCAAAGCGTATAAAAGATGGTTGCATCGCGTTCACCGAAATGAAAGTTCTACCATGTCCCCGTGCGAGTCCTTACGAACCTTCGCAACTTGATTTCTGGCCAGGTGGGGTACATAACAAGAAGGGGGATGCTGGAACCCACGCGCGACATTCTCCCGAGACATTTAAACTGGAACAGTTCCTGCTCGTGTCTAGAAGACGCCACGCAAATCGTTTTGGAAAAATACACAGTCAAAATTCCGTTTTCACGCGAGTGTTCACCAGTGTGCAAGCAACGCAACAGGCGGAACGAAACTGAACATTGTGGTCGGAATTTTCCAATTACTATTCACTATGTCAATGGTGAGTATTATAATAATATATTTTCAGTTGTTTTTTCTTGCTTTTTGTGTATGTTTATGACACGATCAGTAATCTTAATAATCTACTAAATATTACAACTTGATTTCTGCGATTAGAAACACAAATAAAAACGTGGTATATATTCGCGGTACATACGATAAAATAAAGGTTACTCATTTCTGTTGCTCACTGCTCCTATATTTAATTGGACGTGATACTTGATTGGGTTAATTGGTAGAACACTGCTCGTTGATGTAATTGAATGTCGACAATTTTTTTTACGAGTGACAACATTGATACGCAGTAAAGATTTCGTCGATTAATATTAATCACTTTCTTTCGCGTGATTCAACATTCATCGTAATTATCTAATGCATAATATGTACTTGACGTATTTGTGCGCAACAGATCATTTTTTTCTATATCACAGTTCTATAAAAAGATTTGTTTTCTCATTCTTTTCTTCTCGTATTTCACATTTCTTACATTGCATCTCTTTCTTCCTTTGGAGAAACACTGAAAGCACATGTATGTAATATTTCGCAACTAAGGATTTCTATAAAAAAAAAAAAAATTACATCGAATGCATACAAACGTCTGTATCGGCGATGAAAAATTTTCCATCGTTGCCATATATGTTTCACTATCTTACAATGGGCGTAGAATTAATAGGAGTCTCGCAAGTGAAGGTGAGCGGAAAGCAAGGCGAAAGGGTAGTTTGACACGCACCGTCGATCACACGAATGTCTTTAACTGATACTATCTCGATACAGTAACACTTTTATTAAGCGCAAGTGTTATTCGTTCCGTGTGGTGGTATCGAAGATATAAGATCTAGTTTTAATTACGATACAGTACTGAATCAGTATGTGTAAGAAAAGTATTTATGTATTCATGTAGTGTATGAATTGATATTTTGTTAATAACTGGATTTTGTTACTAACCAACAGTATTTCATTAATCGAAAGTAAATATTATATAGCAACATGATTTTCAATTACTCATTGATGACGCGCTTCCCGATACAATGACACAATTGTGGTCGTCTACAAGCCACCAAGTGCGATGGAATCTATAGATATACAAGTTAGCCAATATCGTTGAATAACCGGAATTCGTAAAAAAGGAAAACAGACCAATAAATCGGTCGCCCGATAATAAGATACAAAAGGCAGAAATAGGGCAGCGTTTCACCTAAAATATGAACACTATTTGGACGTTTACTTTCTACGGACGTTCGAATGTACAACGGAATGACGAAATCGCGAACAGATATCTATGTAATCCCTTGCAAGACGCGCCGCTACGAGTCATGTAGTATGAGCGAACCAATTCACAGTCGTCTATTGCGTACATCTGCAGACATACATAGCTGAACATAAGCACGTGATCCTAAAGAAACATGTGCACACATATACACACGTACAAATTATGGTACGCGTCGAGGATGTTGCTTCGATGATCGCTTTCAGATTCTCCTTTAAACTCGTTTGATGTATGAAACGTTCGTGTCGAAGGATAATTGTTTATTTCAGTGGACATTGTTCCGCGTGATAGTCAGCCTGGTAACACCCGATCCGCGTGTCTAACAGTTTGCCTAACACCACTCGATGATATATATCATAATGACGATGATACACGACACGAGATTGCAAACAAATCACTATCGTGGATACTCTACTTACGTCCTTATCTTGTACATATTCGTAATGAGATATGCTCGAGCACGTCAGCCACGAACCGTGATTATCGTTTATGAGAAGTGGATTATCTGGACTATATTAGGCAGCATCATGCCGAGACCGCAATTAATTTTTGTCAGATAAACTACTCGGCAAACCAGGGGATCGTAGAGATCTGTTTCACTCTCAGCAGGGCCTACCGATGGCGTCACCGTTTCGTAAATGCAGTTCAACATTTACGTTTCGTTCTTTCAGTTATCCGGGTTGGTAGAGCGTAGAAATATTAACCTCAAATACCTTGGCCTACTTTTATATTATTGTTATTAAGAGAACGCTTTCTATAGTAAAAGTAAAAGAGGATGTCTGTCTATTTAAGT